AGAGGGCCCAAATTTCCCAAAAGGGCCCCAATGTCTGAGCCTCCACCTTCTCCTCCACCCTGCAGACACGGTAGTTAGTAACAAACAGAAACTGTTAGTTCATGCCAAATGTGAAGCAGAGAAGTCCGTATTAAGGTTTATAAAGATGAATTAAGAGAAAAAAGTTATAACATTTGAAGCTACTGTGGCATTTAAACATAAGATACAGATTATGGACATTAGGGATGGATTAAGGTTCTTGTTCCGCAGGCCCTTTGGTGGTTGCATCCTTATGGGTGTAGAGATTTTTATGGGTAGACTGGTTATCAACATTTTCTTGAGTAAATTTTTTCGGATAGCAATCTTTGTTACAGGTTTTATCACACACAAAATAAGGTGAATAATTTTCTTCGTGGGCCCTAGGCACAGAACCAACTGTGACTATTCGGATAATATGGCTCTGATGCGCATATTAGTAGATGTGTTTGTACATTATACCCCAAATTAGGCGTTTTAGTATTACGCAAGTTTCGTTCTTACGAACGTTTGCATGTACGTATAGCGATTGTACAGGAAAACAGCTCGATTTCAAAGGCCCAGAGAGGTAGCAGGGAGCTGGCAAATTATAAGAACAAATATTGACTTTACCGTCTTTAGAAAATAGTTAGCTTTCGTCGTCCATGAATGAGAGGAAATCGTGTTCGTTAGCGGCTCTACGCAATCCAGTGTCCAGCCTTCTCAATTTAAGTGGCATAGAACATAAGTATTAATAATATTATTTAACGTAGTCATTTATATTATACCATATTTAAATCAATTTTATCGGATATCGCCAAATAATTTCCAATCCAAATAGACTACTTGATTTGTGGTAACTCTGAATATCAGGGAAATTTCTTACACAAAATGCAGTTCTAACACAGTAGCTCATATGAGTTAGGAACTTACCCCACTAAGACTTCCTGAGAGTGGTCCAAGTAGGCTAAGAATGTCAGATCCACCCCCTCCACCGCCCTGCATTTTGTATGAAAAATGTTATTAATTTCATTTTAAAGAATATTATTAGTATTGCGAGAAATTTGAAAACCTAAGTACTCACCCCACTAAGACTTCCTGAGAGTGGTCCAAGTAGGCTAAGAATATCAGATCCACCCCCTCCACCGCCCTGCATTTTGTATGAAAAATGTTATTAATTTCATTTTAAAGAATATTATTAGTATTGCGAGAAATTTGGAAACCTAAGTACTCACCCCACTAAGACTTCCTGAGAGTGGTCCAAGTAGGCTGAGAATATCAGATCCACCTCCTCCACCGCCCTGCAGAGTTGCTATAAGTTTTCAGATCCACCCCCTCCACCGCCCTGCAGAGTTGGTATAAGTTCAGAGTTTATCTTTCGTTATAGTCTAGCCATTAATCATCTCTCAAACAAGTCCTTACAGATACGTTACACTTACCCCACTTAACGCTCCAGAAAGGGGTCCCAAGAGGCTGAGAATATCGGAACCACCCCCTCCTCCACCACCCTGCAGCCCCACAAGTTAGTATTACCAACAAGTTTTTCAACACATTCAGTGCTATGAGTTCTTTGTTAGTGCCAGGCATTTCGAACAGGAGACGTAAAGTGCTTATAGAATTCTGATGGGGAAACCGTTTGGAAAGCGGGAAACCGGAAAGACAACGGAGGATGACATGAAAATGGATTTTTTAGAAGTGAAACGATTAGCTCTTATGTTAATTTCTTGCAAATTTAATTATCTTAATATAAAGTTAACCGCTTTATACACATCGCATTTCAAAGCTAGAAAGTCTATTTCCGCGTGAGCCAATAAATATAGTGCTGAAAAATATTTAAGACAGAAGTTGCAGATCTTAATAATAAGTATAATTCGTTATGTGAGAGTTAAGCTGTTTCTGGGATATGAACTTTATATCTGATAAGAGATATATTGGATGGAAATGTAGTTTAATGAATTTCGAGCAAATATTTTAAACGTAGGTCACCATTATGAAACGTCTCGAAATTCTGTTCAGTAGTTTCGGAGAATGAACAGACAAATCCACGGACAATCACGGACTCGCCGTAATGCATTCACTTCGAACTAAGAACGTGTAACAAAGCAACTAGTTGGTGTTCTCCCGTGAGCATTATCATGACCTCTGGAAATTTGTTGTACTTCTCAGGCACCTATAATACGCCCAATTAAAGTAAACCTTATGATAAAAAAGTCGATGCGTAAAAATACAAACTTACCCCACTGAGACTTCCAGAAAGGGGTCCAAGAAGGCTGATAATGTCGGAACCCCCTCCTCCACCCTAAAGTTTCACATTTATAGATGTTAGTACAATAGAATTGTCTGTTATTTCTACGACAGATAAAGGAATGAGAAGGGTAACGCATAACTTACCCCGCTAAGACTTCCCAGAAGAGGACCAATCAGATTGAAGATATTGGACCCACCTCCACCGCCTCCACCCTATAGTTCCAGTGTTAGTATAAGATCTATCAACTTAAAATGGTTAATACATCGTAACAAAAATGCGCTAATCTCTTGTTTTAAAAGCTAGTAGACTAAAAGTGCATTCTTCAGATATATTTTTTTTAAAAAAAATTAATGTTGCATTCTCGCTGCGGTGACGACGTTGGTGCTGATCTTCTGGGTAGATACTAACATTTAGGCGGAACACACTGCCTTCATCTTCAGGGCTGAAGTCTCCACAGGCAACGTGTTCCTCCGAAACATTAGTCCCTCTGCCTACAAGTCCACGCGATGTTACAACCCAGAAGATCAACACCGACAAGAGCAAACATTTCACATACGAATTTATACATTTAAATAATTTGAAATGTTTTACCAAATGTGGCAGTAGATGTGTTAAACTAGTTTACCTCTTTTCTGTCATAAACTCGTTGCGAGCTTCTACTTCTTCGTTAGATTTTTACTGCCTGGATTATTTTTGTCGTTAATCGGCTAAAAATGTTCTAAGTGCTTTAATGTGTAAGAAGGAAGTTGTTACTGTTTTGTGGAAATTGACACATCGTATTTAATATTAATATTCCAGAAGTGTTAATTGCTTTAAATATGAGGGAGATGATAGCTCCCTCACTCTGGACAGTTCTGGTACTTACCCCGCTGAGGGTTGCTGAAAGAGGACCAAGTAGACTGAGGATATCGGATCCACCCCCTCCGCCGCCGCCCTGAGTTCCAGTATTTACAGTGTTAGTAGAAAATACTGCGCGTACTAAGAAGTAACTTAACGTTGTAGACAAATACATATGTTGACATAAGTATTTAAGAAATCAACTCACCCCACTAAGACTTCCTGAAAGGGGTCCCAGCAGACTGAGTATATCGGATCCACCACTTCCACCCCCGCCGCCACCACTACCCTAAATGCCCAAAGTCTGGGGTTAGTGTCTTGTAGATGAAATATTATCATGCCAGAAACAGATGTTAATAAAGACCTGGTAATGTAACCAGTGCTAAATGTTCATAAGATAACTTGTTAGTTGTAGCAGTATTTATATACCAAATATCTGTACATTTACATGACAGGCAGTGATGATGTTCTGAAATGTAAAAATCATCCAACTCCAACGCGATTATTTGTAGTATCATCATTAGGATACTAAAATACACGATTTATGAAATATATTCATAATTCAATTAAGTATTTTGAGGCGACCGGTCGTATAAAATTGGACTTAATATCAATTCTGACGGTGGAGCAAATACAGTCCACAAAAGTCGGATATTAATCGCGTTGTCACGGGCCCAGTCGCCTAAGAATATTTGGTTGCATTCAGTTAATATCAACTCTTTATGTAAATGTATATTCGTGATGTCCGGAAATTTCCTCGTGAATTTTCTCCTTACATAATCGTAGCAAAGTGTTATACGGTATTTACACGTTTTATTATGCTATCAGGGTTATCACATTCACGTAGAGGCGCCTGAAGAGGCAACAGATGAAACAGTCTGTATTTTTCTCTCCATTTTTCCTCGACAGACCAGTTTTCTTACCATGTCACTAATCTGCACGATCTCTTCTAGGAGTTGAGCACCGCAGTTTCGTAGGACGTTGTTTATTTAAGTGACTGTTTTAAGCAGCTTTCATTTAGTTTTAATTGTGTAAGCCGCAGCTCGCAAGGTTGCAAATAAATGCGTCGTGCTTTTATTTGTTCTGCGACCTAGCAGGTAACACGTCGCTTGTTCCAGTGTCCCCGCTTACGCTGATGTGACACGATGGCAACCGTAAGCTGCGCGTAGCCGATCCAGTTGATTTCCTCTATCTGAGCGTGCTTGATCCACGGACTTCGGATTTATTATCGAGTTTCATTTGAAATATCGACATAATATTCAATAAAAATGCAATTCTGCGTAGATAAAAATATCATTGCACTGAAAACATGCACACACAGACAAATGTCTTTAACTTAAAGCAACACAGTTGTTCGGGTAAGAAAGAGTAAGGGAGAGAATAATGAAGAAGATGAACGGAAAAAGAAAATGTAATAAAAATAACGGATCGGAGGAGAAGGAAAATGAAGAGGTGTAGGTATGACCTCTGAAACGTTGGTAAACATCGGCCAGACTACACAGCGCAACAACCCAGAAGACAGAAATCTTCGTCGCCCTGATGATGGAGGCAGTATGACCTCTGAAACGTTGGTTAACATCGACCAGACTACACGGCGCTACAACTCAGAAGACAGCCATCTAAATAAATAAAACTGTACCATTACACGCCATGTAGGCGCTTAGGGGAGAGGACGTATAGCTCCTATTCATTCTTGACCTTGGCACTAGATGAGAGTGGGGGGTGAGCATCACGCCCCGGCCGCTCTTTACCCCCGGAAAAGGACTACTTTACCCATTGGATAGGAAAGTGTCTCCTCCATTACTATTGCATTGTTCATACAGTGATGACTGCACTACTTTGATCTGCCTGATGACCTGGGTCTGAGGGGAATTATGAAGCAAAGGACGAGAGAGTTTGTAGCTTGCGGACTCGTACTCACCCCATTGCTGCTGCCACCTACTAGCGATCCGATGAGACTAACCACATTGGAACCGCCACCCCCTCCTCCACTCCCGCTCGTGTCGTCCCCGCCGCTGCCGCCCTGTTATCATAATATTAAAATGCTGACTGAACAGAGCAACATAAGAAAGGGCAGCTTGGAAAGCAAATGCTAAATTCACACAGGATTTGAGGCTCTGGCGGCAGGGAACACAAAGATGGCTGTCTTGTGGGTTGTTCACCCTGATGATGGAGGCGGAGAACACCTCTGAAACGTCAGTAAACTACCATTGCACGCGGCACAACAACCCAAAAGACAGCCATCTTCGTTTTCCCTGCCGTGAGAACCCCAAATGTAAGTCAAAATAAATGTTTTTAAAGCATAAAGTGCAGGATTCGAAACCTGTCTAAATGGTCAGGACAAAGTAGACGTATATGAACATTACTGATTTATTTATTTTGGACTTCTGTCTCCTGTTAAAATCAAAACTTTCTGAGGGATGAGTCTTCCTTCGTCATCATCCTCAAAAACAGCCATATACCCTGTGGGATCCCGTAGATCGAGGTTCACAGTTTCGGAATATTTGGATGACGAAGAAGGAAGATCTACTCTCCGAAACGTTGTGATTTTAAAGCAATTTAAAATTTTTAAATAGACGATGGCTGAAATCCAAAAAGTTAATAAATATAGTCCCATTGCCAGAAGCACTCAAGGGAAGGTTTGTGCGAGACTGTACTTACAAATTTGTTGCATTTGATGCTGCGTCAGGATGCGCATGGACACGTATAACAGTTAGTATGGGAAAGAAATACGTAAAGAATTTGAGTGGGGAAACCTGCTAGAAGACCAAGAAGGTAACATGAAGATTGAACGGACTCCTGTTCGTACCCAGGGGCGGTTTCTTACATTGGCGATGTAAATCACGTATATGGTTCTCAATTCTAACAAAACAAACTTTTTTAGAATGTTACTTATTGTACATTAACTTTAGAATGGAAATGGAGCTGTGTTAATCAGTAGCCTGGAGACTGCATTAACGATCTTTCAATGCACAGACGTGTTTTAATAAACATTATCGGGTCTTGACGGTAATGATAATAATAGTTATGGAAAAACTCTCTTGCTTTCAGGTCAATAGGACTGAGTCAAGCGTGAACATCAAATCATTTTCATTAAGCCAGGGACAAATGCATCTCAAATTTAATATTTTTTTTCGTAATTCAATCGGAAAAAATAATTAACTAATGGCGTTTACTTTTCCCAGGGTAGCGATGAACATATGAACCGCCTCCTTTGACTTTTAATAGCTCGTAATTTTGCCCAAGATGAGTTTTGTTTCTTACTCTGAATAGATACTGATTATTTTTTTACTTATTATAGTACATACACGCCCTGTGTTTGTCTGGGTTTGGTTATTATTTAGATTAACTTCCACTATGGTTATTTGACGTATTCAGTCAATTATGTGTGAATTTTCTCTTTGTTCTTAACATTTAATTTATTTCAAGTCATGCAAGTTTGCTAATTTATATAGGGATTTTTCGTGTATAGCAGTTAAAGACGTCTTGCGTGTAATTTGACATGACCATAGGAACATCATTTCTTTCAAATGTGGAAACTGTGGTTAAAATCAGAGTTTAATACAATCTCAGGCTTTGGATGAATGATGATGAGTCAGTCACTTTGCGAAAAATTACTCACGCCACTCGAAGATCCCAGGAGTCCGGAGACCAGTCCGAGGACGTTGGAACCGCCACCGCCGTCCTCACCGTCTCCACTACCATTGTCTCCCTAAATAATACCAGCACCACAGCTGAGCCCTTCAGTCCTTGCTTCCCTTATTGCCACAGATTACTTCTCAATTGCGTGTTTCTACCCTGAATTACTTTGCATTAAGCGTCCAGTTTTTATCTAAATTAATGTATTGAAATCGCATTCCGCATTAGAAAATTTATATTTATTTAATTATGGGATAAAATGTAATTGAATACTTATGTACAATCAAAATAACATTTACATGAACATTTAATTTTCCTAGTCTTTTAATATAATACATGATAAAGTGATTTATAATGTTCAGTGCGGAAATGTTTTGTATAATTACGGAGAGAGAATTTTTTGAAGGTCACTAATTATAAAAAGGGATTTTTGTCAAAGATGGAACTAAACTCAAAAACAAAACGTATTTCTTCAATTTGGAGCTTAACACAAGATAGTCTTATTCAAGTTAGCAACAGTAAGCTAGACAACGTTATTTGTTTTTGACTATCTACTATGTACAAATTACCAAAGTGTTGTGAAAAATATGTACAAGTGGCAAGTGAATATTCTGGTAATAATTATGCAGGAAGCTCAGATTCAAAGCTCCATTACCGTGCATTTAAGCGCATTCGTCACTAAATGCACGGATAGCTAACTACTGTGCAAGTGAGCGGTGATTGTGGTGAGTGCCATGCGATTACATCACCACAGTTTTTTTTACTATTATAGGCCACGGTGAAACTCTGCAATCATATACACACTACATTAGGTCAGACAGCCAGAATACAAATGTACTTCCTATTTTACACCAACACGAATCAGTTTGCTTTATATTGTCTTCAATTCGGTTCTCACCAGTTCGCACTGTAGTAAGAAATATAGGCCGTGTTGTGTGCACTGGTTCGATCTTACCCTCATGTGCAAATGCCTTACCTATATTAATCGAGGTAACAGGTTGAATCAAATTCTGTTCTGTCTCTGAAAATGCATTTTTTCTTGTAACATGAAATTCTCTTTCTTCAAAAAATAAATAGGCTAATATTTAAATATGATAAAACGAAAGTAATATAAATATAAATATAAATAAGTAAGTAAATGTTACTTCTGTATAAACCATCGCCCAAGAAATATTTCTAAAACTGTACAGTGTATAAATGTATCTGCACTGGACTATGTTACGTCACTAGCCTCAATTATTTAACGAGTGTCGATATCAGAATCTTATTTAGAACCGACATTTTCTAGCGCGCTTGTTTAACGTCGGCTGCTTGTAACACCGGATAAAAGTTATCTTCAGCAGTGAACGTGTCATTAGTGACGTTTGTGAAACTCGGTGCATCTTCATAACTTACAGCTTTGTCATTCCGAAGCACTTGAGCGTGAAGAGACATTGTCCCTGAACTTTGTTGCCTTGGTAACTGTATCCGAAACTTTGATCCCTTGCAGCGTTTGAAACCAACTCCGTGACTGAGTCTCAAGTTAATTGCACACTTGAGGCAGACTGATGCAACCGGACCCAGTCTTGTTCAAATATGTACAAAGTCTGGCCTATCTGAAGAGGTTTCTTGAGCAGCTATTGCTTGTCCGTCAGTAGTGTTTTCCTTTTCAATAGAGGGTCATATATTCAACGACTCTTGGATCGTTTATGACGTCCGAATATTTTTTACCTTGTTTGCAAGAACCAGCCACATCCTTGATACTCAGCTCAGTTCACTCAAAATCCTCACATCATATTTTCAAAAGATCTTGCTCAACATTATCCTCTCTTCTACCACTAAGTCTCCCAAGTATTCTGTTTCTTTCAAGTTTTCCTACCAAATTGTTTTAACGTGTTGACCGCTTGACTTCTCAGAGTATTAGAAATTTACCAACCACGTGGATTAAGAGCCCGAGAAGGCCTTTAAATATTATTTGAGAAGATTAAGATCGGAACAGGTAATTTAATGACCCAACAGCTTCGATGATGATATCCACCGATCGTATAAGGCAATAGAACATCTTTATACACAGACCTCAATTTTGGCGTAGATAGACTTAAAGAAAATTTAAACTATTGTTAAGGTTGTTTCCACTATATAGAACAACATGGCGGCAGCGCGAAATATTAAAATTTTTTAGCAGTTACAGACATGGCAGTGATGCGAAACTTACAGCTGTTGACATCTGGAAAAATTAACGTGGCTCGGACCATTGCTAATGGAAATTATGTACAGAAATGTTAAACTGAATTGTGTAATTAAGAATTAGCTTTATCGTATAGAAAGACGCATCTGGATGAAAGCTGGCGTCGTAAGCTATTCCGTCGCGGCGGTGTGATTCAGTCGCAAACTGAGTTCGGCCGATGACCCGGGTTACTCACCCCACTGCTGCTGCTCAGCAAGCTACTCAGGACCTCGACGGCTCTCTTATCTCGGCGCATCATGTCCTGCAGCTCTCGTAGGTCCTCCGTCTGTTTCGCCCTGTCTCCGCGGTGAGACGACAGCTTCTTCACCGTCCTCGTAAGGATCTCGTCCTCAAACTTCTGCTCCAGTCGGATAGCCTGCGCTTCTGCTCCCACCCGGGCGGCGCGCTCCATGTCCGCCTCCAGTTGCTGAAACAAATGACCTTCGTAGGAACCCTCATAGTCGCTTAGCTGGTCAAAATCCCGCCTTGTACGGAACCCGAAATCCTATTTATAACCGTGTTCAGAAGTGCCCACGAAGATTGGGTAACAAGCTACTCTTTGCTGTGAAGGTTTACTGGTTCCCGTTCAACTTCGAAGATGCGGAGACCACCCTTTTCCGGTTGTCAGCGATTCCTTGTTAAATATGTTCGCTTTTGTTTCCCTTTCTTGGATATCGTCTCCATCCACAAACATGGAATTGTGTGTTACAGAGATGTTTTAAACCAAAATTACCGAATATTTAAGATTTTCTGGACAGCGATAATTCAGTAAATGGTCTTGCGGTTTGTGACACCTGCAATGCTTGTAGGTGGTAATCTGTATTTCTGAAGACCTTTCCACTCCCGTCATCAGGAAACAATCATAAGACGACAAACTGAAAACGTAATTGTAATTTTTAGGCGAGTCAGGGTAATAGACGTGGAAGGCAGAGCTAAGATCTTTTTCAGTTGTTTACGAATTAGGCGTTATGGCCTGTTCCAATTAGCTTCTGAAGTTGTTAATCCTTTCTGAAATTTCGTAGGTTTTCTTAGATGAGGGATCGGCCTGTTGCACGGCAGAGAGGGGGTTTGATCTAACAATAATCTGTAGAAATCACCGCGTAATATATTAATTGTTTAATAATGTCCAGAACACTTTGTTTTAAAACACTTGCAATTTATATTATGTCGAAGCAATGGACCACATTTTACACCTGTAGAAACGAATTGTAAGTCTGTTTGCGAAGTAGGTGGGACGATAATCGAACAAAAAATAAAGTACTTAAATATGAATTACGATATAAAGTAGCTTTAAATATAGTTATTACGTCGCTGATGTCAGTTTTTAATTCTGAAATCTTTTATGGTTTCTGCTGTCACATTACTGAACAGCCAGTGTGTTTCACTCCTACCTTTTCGTAATTCACGGCCAACGACAGACATCTTTACAGACGGCAAAGTGACAGGTCATTAATTCATTCATTCACAGTGAATGCTGTTATGTAAAACAAAGTTATAAACATAAAACACGCGACCGTGACTTGTCAAAACATGTCGGCCTGAACACTGGGCTAATAGATATATTTCCTGCACAAGTTATTAACTCTTTGAAGTCGAAGATCACCTAAATTATATTTAAGAATTCAGTCCGTACCGCGAAGAAAACACAACTCTTTACCATTATGAAGATCAATTTCTTAACGCTGTTTAAGGACGTAATCGCTGTTTACACCGAGAGTCAACCAGGCACATGAATAAAACATGCAGACTTACTTATTGTTGTGGAACTTTGCCACCAGGCTTTAAACTGTTAAGCATGCAGAACACGGTTCCTTGAGCTTCCGCTTTTGGCATCTGTGTTATGGAACCGTCATCACTGACTCTGGAACTGGAGGATTTAATCCAAAACTTTTTTGTTCGCGACCCAGCATTATTCCTCCTGATGACCCAATTAGGGTCAAATTATACATTTTGAAAGTTTTTTTAATTCACTGATATTGTATTTAATTAATTTCTGTTTGAATAGAGGTACATTTACAAATACAAAAATAAACTGAAAAATTTATCGGCAATATTTGCTTGACTAAATTAACAATGCTGTATAAAGTTATGTGCTTTAACTTTCGAGGCCCATCAGAAAGTCCTTGCAACCTAATTTCGGGTCGCGACCCAAGGTTTAGGAACCCCTGGTCTATAGAATTACTGCTGTTTGGTCACTTTCATTTACGACGAGTAAAATTTGTGCTAAGTTAAAAAGAAACAAAGAACGTAAGAGAAAATGTCTGCGTTGCAAATTGCCGTCGGTACCGTGCTTTTACGCCGGCCGAGTATCATCGAACTTTTTATGCCGTCATTCAGTCAGAAGTAAGATTTCTATGAATCAATAAAAAGTACATAGTACAACTTTTACTAGTTTTCTCTCTGCATTGTTTTCTGTGTGGCAATGCGTTACAGACCTCCGCGGTAACCCGACTGAGATTCAAACCTGGTATCTACCGAATTAACTTCAGAGCGTTGTCAGCACACCTGCCTCAACCTTCTTGGCATTCCATTGTATCGCCTTGAAAATCCCATTAATGCGGAAAAATATGATCGTCTCACAGAGGGGATTTCTCGACAATACGAACGATTCATAACTGATAGGTAATTTAAAGACGCTGTTCTCAATGCATATGTTAAATACGGTTCAATGACAATGATTATGAGTGACGAATGAATGACAGAGTGAACGGTCGTGACGTATTTTAAACAAGTCCACGCCCTTCGAACATATATAATTACCCACTCACTGAACTTTTTACAATCTGCGCAGCTGAATAAAAGCCGTTAAATAACCTTAAAATCGACCACTTTTCTGTAACTGTATCAAATTCTGGGAAGGGATCAGTAGTGTCCGAGCTTAAGATACTATCTCTGCGTTTTCCTGATGGGACTTAGGAAGAAAACTGACCAACCAGGATAAGGTTAATAGACTTTTCACGTGTGAACGCTGGCCCGTCCTCTGTGTTCAGTGTTGGATACGAATACGTAAAGACTGCAAATCTGATAACCGAGACTCGAACTGAGCACCTTCCGAATACGTAGCAGGAGTGAATGCATAAGCGTCTCAAAGACGGATGCCGTGTTGTCAGGAGCATCGTCAGTGGTTTTGCGGTGCAGCGACCGTCCCACTCGCCTTGTGTAACTCGTTCTGACACACAAACACACAATCCCGCCCACTTTCGCTTTCTCAACTCCACATGTTCAGTGCCTTTCTTGTTTCATTACCTCTAATTTAAAATGTCATTTATACCACAGCCTTGTCGATGAAGTAACAGATGAGTTGATGACACCGGACGCCATAACCCTTAATGACGTTAGTGGAAAGAACGAAAAACTTAGAACTGACTGTTGTGGAAATTCACTTCAGTACACAAGTCCAAGGTTATAATTCAAGCAGAGTTTAAAAACTGTATTTTCGGTCAAGAGCCCATAGACAAAGGTAGAGAGAAGTAAAATGCTGCCCTTGTGGCAAGTACCACGAAAATGGTTGCTCTGAGAAGTTGTAAATGTACATGCATTCTACATATCGGCGCTAGATTATGGGAGTGATCAACTTTATATTTCGGCCTCTTTGACCCGAGCAAAAAAAAAACCCAGACCTCGTGACGTGAGTGTCAGGGCTGGATTGTAGCGTTTGAGGAGACAGATTTCTGTCCGTCCCGGGAATCAAATCACATACTCCGCACCTAGTCACTTTTCATGACTGAACTATCTTGATTCAGAATAAATAAAATGTACATTAAAATAGATAGTGGAGCCATATGTGAATCACAATTAAATCCATATATATAGGCAGGTAAATAACTCCCTGGGTGCAGGTGTTTTATGATAATCAGTTTCAGTTGCTTTCCATCTTCAAAGAAATCGAGAATTCGTTAGTGCTCATAGGAACCAGCATCTTGGTCGTGTCGGTTCACGAAAAACATCATTAAATAAACAAAACAAGGTTCACTTTTATGAAGTTATTAGTTTATATTTTACATTCAATAAATAGATAATGACAACGTCGATCACAAATATTTTTAAAATGCGACATTCCTTAATACTGTTGTTATGATTTTAGAGTTATTTGCACCTAACAGCTCCAACGATGCTACACGCAACACACAGAAGCCGGAGAAGTTGCCGCCAAAGCCAGGCGTTTCATCTTTCAGTCTACTAAATGACAACGCTCTTGCTTTTCGAGTTATTTACCTTTCCTTTCTAAAAAGTTTGTTGGTTATTGGGCCGTTCAAAGACGCTGTATCAGTAGCAGGTGGTACATATTACGTATAAAATAATGTCATTACGAAGAGAAGAAAGCTATCATAGGCAAAGAATCGCGTAAGTAGAGAGTTCATATATGAAGTTTTCTTCTGGACTGTCCGTCATAAGACACAGATAGAGGCATCAGAAGCCACGCAAAGCCAATCAACGCTACTAACACTTAGCCAAGGCACGCAAAATGACGTTATAAGCCTCCAGAAGACAATGGCGTTACTGCGATACCAATCTGTTAAATACATTATTATATTAATAAAGTCTTCTCGGGCTATCAGCCGTGGTAATTACCAACTAACACGGCTGATAGCCCGATAAGACTTTACTAATTAAAGCCGCCGTGAAAGCTTTACATCATATACATTATTATAGTTTGCAGTTATATATTTATCATGAATTTACAAAGCATTTGACATGAATAATTCCTGGTTCAAGTATAATATAAAGGAATGGTTTTCTTAAAGTTATTCGGGCACGTAGGTGCTCACCTATTTTATGGAAAGTTGAGCGGAATGTTTATGGAGGGCAAAATACAACAGTCTGAAGGCCGCATGCCATCTGAGTGGTGAAAGCAGAACTGATGTATGACTTGATATTCCAGATGTACTCCGTCAGTATTGTACTCATTGGTCACTTTGAAGGCAACGTTTGTATTTCATGCAAGAAATTAACGTAATCAAATTCTTTACGTTTAATTTACTTAAAAATGGAATAATTTTTCGCGAATAAATGTAATTTTATTATTTAAATCTTTGTACCATTCACAGATACTTTGCCTCTGTCAGATTATACCGAAGTATGATTTCAATTTGGTACGGAGGAGGAAGTAGTTAATGCAGACAGGTGGGATGTGAGACTTAGCATCGATCAATTATGAATCGAGATATGTAATTTGCGTCACTTCTTCTAGAGCAAAACTCAAGAAACAAGTTTCAATGGAAAAACGTTTGTCGTTTTGGAGATGAAGCACTTTGACGGACTATTATTTACAACTATTTTGCGTTCATTTTATACGCTGTGTGCTATCATTCTTATGCCACTGAATATACAATGTAAGATCCATACGTGATCGAATGGTAGTGTCTTATTTCGATGGATTCGTCTGCGATACACGAAGACCACGCCTCATAGTGTAAATTCTTTGCATCAAGCCTATGGCATGAAATGGTTACAGATCAGGGTTAATTACATGAGCGTCCGGTGCCTACGAGATTATTACTTTCACTTAATTTCAAAATCCATATTTTTTTAAGCTCAGTATATCGCAAAGTGTTGGGTAATTTCAGTTATATCAATGTCACCATCTGGAGTTTTCGCAACATTTCACGGTCAGATATCGCATTAATATGGCGATGCTGACATAGTCCGTGTTAATCCAACCGGCACGGTAGTAGAACGCCGTCATTCAGCATGTGAAAATCCTGGGAAGGTTCTCGATACCCGGAGGACACGCATCTCCCAGCTCATCTGTCGTCACCGCTCGACCTCGTGACAGTTTCTTTGCTGTTGTTCGAATGTTTCGTATTACTGGTACTTACACTCACTAAAAACAGCGTTATTGTATGAAAGAAATTTCGCTCTCGTATTTATAATTATGTTTAACCTTTATTTTTAGCCCTTAAAACAATAGGTTTTAAACACTAAAATTAGCATTGCATTTTATTAAGTTGTGTATGTTATGTTATGTTAAAGTATAATTATTGAGCAGTCGCTCAGTAACAATAGCAAAAAAAAAAATAAAACGAAGGATCGACAAGGGACTGAGGATGTGAACTGGATTCAAATAGCTCAAGTTAAAATTTCAATGGCAAGTTCTTGTAAACGCGGCAATGAACCATAATTTCTTAAAGATGGGTGTCTTTCCTACCTGTGACATGAATATTAATTGCTGAAAATTAGTTAATTTTTCTCCGCCTAAAGTCAATAATACAACCACGTGTGATCCTGAGTTTTGGAATCGTGTGTTAATATCGTATTTTTGTGGTCCTTCAGGAGATGCTTTGTATTTTTTTTTTACGATTTTGGTATTCTGGACCATTCTGTATAAAATATTGATCCGAAGTGAGCTTTGTTTCAATAGAAGAGGCCATTTATTAGCTGTTGCACTACTTGAAGTTTGTATTCATGTAGTAAAGGTGAAATTACAGACTCAGAAGCGCCAACTACGGTCAGACCAGGAAACACATCACACGTGAGGACGTCGGAAGAACAGCGGTTTCTAAAAAAAGACCGTATTTTGTTAACACTGTGCACGACCTCCTGGTGATTCATAGCGTCAGCTGCACATTCTAATACTTTGCAATTCATTTCAGGGCCTTCTATGACGTTTGCAATTATTATTCGGTTTTTATGATCTTCTGGTCAGGAAATTCCTATCTGTATGTGTGAAACTATTGAATGACTTGTGGGCGGAGAGTGGCTAAGTACTTTGAAGAAGATGGCTGTCTTCTGGATCGTAGTGCCGTGTTGTCTGATAGGAGTTTTCTTTGCGGTACGGTCTGAATTCTTAAATACTATTCAGACTAGCTTCCGCTTCAAACTGATAAGTTATTCTTTGTTGTCTTTCATATCTGATCTATTTAGTATTCATAATCACCAAACCGTATATAATTTACTTAAAATTTCAATTGATACAGCGTCGTAATGCAAACCGATTACTACCTTTAACCATTGTGCTCATAACCCAGTAGGTTAACTGTCGCCTGTTGACCTTGGTGGCATCTCGAAGACGCCTCTGAGTTAAGGATGTATATGCACTATACGCCAACAGGACAAGATGTGACGCAACTGCTCCTTACTCAAATGGTGATGAAGTTCAACGACTAATGTTTCCGGTAATCGGAATTGGTTTAATCCTTCCGTGGAATAAAAACAGTTAATAAAGCCTGTTTGCGGCCTTGTCGCGGGGTGTACGTCTATCCAAACAGTAGGCTAGTACAAAGTGTACGAAGGAATTGTTTCATACTACTATTGAATCCGAAACAGTCTGAAGGGAAATTTGATTAATTCATCTGTGTTTTCCTCTAAGGAGCAGCAGTCTCTTGTTGACGCGTTTTCGCATTACGTAGCTTTCTTCAGTAACCGAACTAAGGCGCTAATGGGGTAATGTGTAGTTGAATGTAAACGCGCTTTTCGTTACGTGATTTGACAGGGCTGCACGACAAATGAAGGAGAGAAAGCGAATTCCTGAGAATTATATCGCTCCCCTTCCAATGACCATCTAGAGGTGCAAGAGACGATTAACGGCCGGACTCCTACATTATGTGCGGACTTTCACTTTGCACCGCGTGATGCATCATACGCAGAGGGATGACAATTCGTCGTCAGTTTCGAAGCTACAAACGTTTTTATTCGTTTTCTTCAGTCTCTTCAAGCAGAATTCTGAGAATTTTCCCAAGTTTCAACCTGCTTATGCATGTAGCCCTCTTTGTCCAGCCAAATAAAAAGTACCGCCTTGTTATGGATGCCATCAGAAAATTTATTATCTCAATTGCCTGCCATAAACTAATCGAAAAGTCAGAATATTTTTTATGTGTCAGCAGCAAAGTCATTTCTGCTGACACACAAAATTATAATTTAAAATGTAGTTCTTAAGGGCGTGAAAATTGGTCAGTTGAACTAAGCATAGATGAGGCAGTTTGAGGACAGAATTTGGAGGATAAAGTTTGGGCTTAACAGAGAGAAAGTAACAGGTTGAAAAAATATGCAGAATGAGGCACCTCATAATTTGTGCTTTTCAACTATTGTTAGGAAGACTGAATCGAAAAAGGGGTAGGTGACCTGGGCATATAGCACACGCGGCGAGTTGAGAAATAATTACATAATTTTAAACTGATTACCTGAAAATAAGAGACTGCTTGGGCAATCAAGTTGTAGATAAGATAATATTAATTTGGATCATAAGGAAATAAGTTATGAGACTACTTTGGCCATTATAAAATAAATATATTTTGTAAAAGTGTGATGAATCTCGCGGGCCGGAAAAATGTTCAAGGCGGGCCACATGCGGCCCGCGGGCCGCGGGTTGGTCACCCCTGCTCTAGACACACAAAATTATAATTTAAAATGTAGTTCTTAGGGGCGTAAAAATTGGTCAGTTGAACTAAGCATAGATGAGGCAGTTTGAGGACAGAATTTGGAGGATAAAGTTTGGGCTTAACAGAGAGAAAGTAACAGGTTGAAAAAATATGCAGAATGAGGCACCTCATAATTTGTGCTTTTCAACTATTGTTAGGAAGACTGAATCGAAAAAGGGGTAGGTGACCTGGGCATATAGCACACGCGGCGAGTTGAGAAATAATTACATAATTTTAAACTGATTACCTGAAAATAAGAGACTGCTTGGGCAATCAAGTTGTAGATAAGATAATATTAATTTGGATCATAAGGAAATAAGTTATGAGGGATTCACCTGGCTTAGGGTGGAATCCAGTGGCGGCCAGTTGTAGCCATGGTAAGGAATCATTGTGTATCTTAAAAGGCGGGTAGTTTCTTGACTGTCGCCGCGACTATCAGCTTCTAAATAATTGTGCTACATTAAGTTAGGTATGCTAAGACAAAAAGAGGTCTGACAGAGAAATCCTTATTTCGGGGTTGTGCTTACCTTGACGAAGACTTGTTTAACTTTGGGTGGTAAGCCCCTGACAGCGGTGGTCTCCAAGGATGGTACTGGTCCCTGAGGCTCCACCCGTGTCACCAGCTGCTCCTGGCGAGGCACGGGAAGGCTCGCGGCGCACGCCATGAGGGAGGCGACAAGTGCAGTAGTCAGAAGCCTCATTGTATTGAGAGTCTTGACCGCACTACCTACAGGCAGAGACCAGCGCGTTAGCACGGGCGCGCGACCTTCAACCAGACATCTGTCCCCTTAGTGACTATCGTCGCAACACTTCTGAGACGCAAAGGATTTAAGGCTTTTCTAATGTGGGGTCGGATATATACACAATATCGTCTTCATATTATACGTAACGTAATTCTTGTATTATCAGCTCCTTTTGGTAATTTTACAGAATTTGAATTTTTAAGTTTCGTCACGTTGTTTTTGTTATTACTATTTCAACTATTCACCACTTCATAGGGTATTTACTTCTGTGTACCCAACACAAACCTTGCCCCTGAGGTACACAGTGCAGGAGCTATCTCTTAAATACATTTTGTTTTTAATATGTGTTACTGTTCTTATTGTAGTAGTAGTAATATTAGTAGAAGTGGTAAAACTCCAGGAATTTTCAGATTTCGGTTTCAGAAATTTGTGTTCCACGAAATTCATAAAAATCTTGACTGCATTCTCTAACTGAATGGAGTAGAGAGCTCGAGAAGCCATTAGTCTTTCATTAAATTAAATTTTCGATCTTTATGGGGCCCGGAGTTTGGTATTTCTGCCTTAATTTCACGCATTTATTTCATCACTTTCGATGTGGCTTGCATTTCTGATGTCTTCGTCCTCGCTGAGTAAAAGATCAGATTTAAGGCACATTTCATGCTGTTTTCTTATTTAAAACAACGTCGGCCGCACTATGCAGTAATTTGATAGTTTCGGGGAAAACATGCGGACGGACAGAAATAAGGACTGGTGAGAAACTCGAGGAAGGGTTTATGAACATCTCGCGTCAGTACGCCTCTTGGGATATCAAAGCACAGAAATGAGGATGGTATGAAAATGGAGGTTTTGGAAATAGTTTATTGGAAGTAAATTTGTCTGATCAAGGAAAGTTTTGAGATTATAAATGTTTAAGACTGGTTTTAGAAAAGGGTTGTTAATTTATATTACGACCATAAAAATTGCACACCCAGTACCCTCCTGCATTAATTTGATATCTGCTCAATATGGCCTGAAAATTGTCAGTATTTCGTCATTACTCACAATTAGTGTCGTAAGAAAGTTGTAAAATACCTTCATCTTTACAGCTAGTAGGTTTTACATAGAGGCTTTTGTTTACCATCAGATACTTTTTGTTTTATTACTTATATATTATTGCATGTCTGTTTGTGTCACAATCGAAAACGCCACTTAAATGTTAATTATTTTTTTAGTTTGTTTAACGTCGAGAAAGGGATAAGTACAGTTGATGTTAAATAATGCTGAATTCATTAGCCATAAATCTTGTAATGTATGTGAATGATGTGGCCTGCTTTGTCCAGTAAAGATGTGTTTAACGAAAAACTGTAAATTACACCCTTGAATATTAGTGAACAGTCTGGACTAAATTCGACGGCTTAGATTTTAAACTTACGTGTCTGATCTCCGTTGTTTTTGCTGAATAAAAAATGTCCCCGTTGTTAACTAACAAAGCCGGATTCAACGTTAGGAAGCGTGAAATGCTTCTTATATTGTCATATAATTAAGAACAGAGGAGACTCGAACAAATACCTTTTTTCAGGCGTACTCTTTTTGATGCTAACTTTGATGTTAATTAATTATTGTTCATTATTGAAAATCTAATCACTACAAAGCTATCAGTATTTGGAATCGTAGTACGTATTTGCATTTCGTGTATCGAAAACATTTTGTATTATCAACCTACTTCTTGAATTATATCTAACCCTTTGAATCGAAAGCTCGTCTAAATAATGTTTAACAATTCAGTCCGTACCGCAAATAAAATACAACTCTTCACCATTACAAAATCAACTGGTTAACGCTGTTTAACAAAAAATCACTGTTTACACTAAGACGCACAAGAAATCCATAAATACGAGCTGCAAGCACTATTCTCTATTTGCATCAGCTCGTGGCTACTGACTTTACACGACCGATATAAAGCCTAAATTAATTTAACCTGGCAGTTTTATTGTAGGCATCGACACCAAATTTGGCTGAAATTGTAGAATATTTTTGAAGATTTAATATACAGATTAGCTCTTGTCTTCGTGTCCTAGCTAACTGAAACGTGGATTTGTGTGTGCCTCTAATACACTGCATTTTACATGAACAATACAATGGGTAGGCCGCTGTAATCCGGCATGCCGTTCTTTTCTTACCATCGAGTACAGCTTGAGGCAGATTAGCTTACCCTTTCCTTAAGAATTTGGCGCCGGGTGTTAGCACAACGAAAGAGAAGTGTATTTATTTATGACCATGCCGGAGCAACTTTCATTACCGTTAGCAGATGCAGAGGTCCACTGAACTTTCTCTGATCCTCAGGGATATCCAACATTTACATTCTGCGTGCAGCTTAAGGTAAACTTAGGCATTTCTTATGATTAAATTTACATAAACCTACCGAGCCTTGAGTGGATAATTGTGTGTCAGAATTATTATATTAATAGAAGACTGATTGTGGCCGTATATCTTTTAAGTACATATTATTTTACTAGTCGTAATGGTAACAAATTGAAGGGATTTAAGAGCTTGTGGGAAAGTGTTTATGAATACATGTATATGTTTTACTTAAATTATTATAACCGTTGCTATGATAACGCTTTCAAGAGCTAATTTGTATTATCGATTCAGAAGCAGAATTCCATCAGTGTGTAGTTCTTGACTTACATTCTTACACATGGAAACTGTTTTCTTGGAGGTAAAGGTGGAAACGGAAACATACAGACATTAGACCGTTTTCCAGATGAATTTTATTTTTAAACAGAAGAGAGATATGTTACGATCGAACTAAGCTGGCATTTGGGTCGGCTGCATTAATAAAGTAAGGCATACGCGTGTGACTGCGGTGTTGTCCCTTTGTTTAATAAAATGGCGGACCGAACAGCTGACAATCTGTTTTCTCAGTGATTTTGTGACTCACAGATTTGCTTTCTTCAGTTACTGATAACCTGCCTACCCGACCGAATGGCCACCTGATCGACTAATGGAATGACTTGTGCAAGGTCCGTTAGATAAAACAGTAACGAATTGTGGCACTCATTTGGCCACCCCTGATAAAGTTCACTGGAATTTCGTGCTCGGACGGAGAGCCTCGTGCCCTTAAGAGATAAACGCCATCGCGATCTTAGGAAAATGAAGAATATTGTTGCCTGTGCACACGAACGGTGAAATAAACGCATTGTCTGCGTTTTCTTTCCAGTTGGGAGCTGGGTTTTATGGAGATAATTGGCCTGTGCTGTAGACTGATAACTCGAATTATGGATTTTGTTGAGACTGTCGTTGCGTCCGGTTTTTGCTAAGAGCAAGGGCAAAGCGTAGAAATAAGATTTGGTTCCGTCCACTTGTAAGATTATTGAACGCCCAATTTTACAAGTTATATGAGGACCTGCCTATGTTTCCGAAGAAATTATTCAGATACTTTTATTTTTTGTCAAGTTTGCTCGAGTTCGGCAGTAGAGCTTCAGAGACTTCTGTCCATACGTAGGGTTCCTTCCGTTCCATTGCAGCCGCCAGCCGCTGTGCGGCCACGGCACCGCATCGAAAGTGAAGCATGTTGCGGCAGAAAAACCGCAGCGGTAAAACTACCGCACGTGCACTCGCTTCCTACTGAAACAGTGCGTTTCATCAATGCGGCAGAAAAACCGCTGCGGCCCAAACCGCTCGTTCGCGCGGGGTTTAAGTGTGTGGTAATGTGCTGCTTTGTCAGGTCTATCGCACACCCCATCGTCTGTGATAAATGATGATTATCTGGGTAACACCAAAGAACTCTTGATACTTCAAAAGTAAAACAGACGCGGATATTAGAATATTCGATTACAGTGATATTTAATGCGTTGTTATCGGGTGTAGTGTGTAGATTTGTGGCGGGCACTTCATTAAATTGTGGTCTCTCAGACAGTCAACCGCTTCGATCGAGCGGAAAAGAGCTCGCGGTAGCAGAACGGGTGGGCCCCAGAACCAGTCATGACGTCGTGGTGCAGAGAAATATATTTACTGCTGCCGAGAATTTCCTAAATTATCTTTATAAATATATTATAATTTGATTGTGTGTGTACATTTTTAAAATATAAGCAGTGTTTTGGCGTATGGTGTCCAATTCCATACGAATAAATTTTAATTTTAATTCTTGATATTACAAAATACAATATTAGCTGCCTCGGGCAAAGTATCGTGCTGGATCCATTTAGATGTGTAACAAAAAGCAGTCGACCTACTCTGACTATCTTACTAGTGTGTCCAAACAAGTTTCAACATTCTCCGTTGGAAATCATCGACGCAAACAAATAGCTCCTGGCGTATAATTTGTTTGATCACTGTAAGGATGACTTAATGCATGTATTAACTAAGAGATTCCCCAATGAAGGTGTTGTAACGTCCAGGGTTCTTAAAACCCTTCAGCAATATGAATTCATACTTTTTTATGGTTGTTGGTTTTCAGTGTTGTTGTAACTCTGTGTAGATTTACAGGTAGATATTAACGTTTTAGAGGAACACGCTGCCCAGAAGATGGTGGCATCGTGTTCCTCAGAAATATTGGTACTTAGCACGCCGTTTCAACGCAGAAGACAAACGTCGACATCTTCGCCCGCTAGGTAACACGGAGTTTTCCTCCGTGGCATCCCAACAATTACTCCATTCACACACAGAAGAAGGCAATGGCAAACCACTTCTGGATCATCTGCTAAGAACGTATATGAACAGGTCCCAGTCCGAGAAAAGGATGGAAGGATCCTGTTCAAATGGACCTGTCGTCAGACAGAACACTAAATAATATAATAATAGTCGTCCTTATGTTGTTTACTGTAAATCTATGCAGTTGAGAAAGCGTCGTTACGCGAACCGTCGTTTTGTAAGCATTCTTTTTGCATAGTTTTACACTCTCAATTGGCAGTGAAATCGATAAAAGCCTCTCTCTCGCAGCAAGAAAGTCTCTGTCTCCGGATTTATACTAGGATACTGAGCTACACAAGAAATGCTTGGAAAATAAATAAATTTACAAACAGCGAGATAAAATAAGGACCAATTACTGATTTCTTGAAGTGCAGTATGGCACACGTGAATTGGTCTTATTTGGAAGTCCAGTTGAACAGATTTTAGTTAAAATTTAAGAAGTCATTTGTCGCACATGATTATCGAAATTATGACAATGATTATTTTTTGGAGGGTAACGAATATAAACTTTACATGAATGATCTTTCGATTGTTAAGACAGCCACTTGTTTCGACGTAACTTGTTCCACCCGCTACTTAATCTCGCATTGACACAATTTCTGACCCTTACAGGGAACGTATGACGGAAATTAAATGCTAACTTTAATGTAGAATATTCACTACTGATATTTTTATCCGGAAGAGTTGAGTTTGACAGATAAATAATAACATAAAACATGAAAAATTTTATTAATTTGATCGACAGTCTTCTATCTAAAATAAAATTTACCTTTTAAGGTTTCAGGTTTTAGCTGCAGCGAGTATGAATACGGCTATCTTCTGGGATATAGAGCCGTGTATTCTGGCAGATGCTAACCGACGTTTCAGACGTATGGCTCTGTTTATGGAAACAGCAAACTCCTCTGAAACGTCAGTAAACTTAACTCAGAATGCACGGCATTACAACCCAGAAGACATTCATCGCCGTATTTACCAAATTTTACACACCGTTTAGGACATGTTATGGCTATAATACAATTCACGAAAAAATTTAAATTCGGAGTTGAACGTGCATTTCATTTACATATCTCGTACCTACAAACAAACATTGGCAAGCAAACACAGAGCAGTATAGTTCATTTTCATTGAAATATAAGCCGAATATATTTGTTAACTGCCCCAGTAATACAGGATATTACTTGGAAAGCTGACACATAGCAGCCGGTTAAAAAACTCGTTTCATTTATAAAATCTGAAGTTTCGTCACATTGACAAAAAATCCGCCATTGAGCCATATCTGGAAACACTTCAATGTATCGTAGATTTGAGCTCTTTAAGGCAGT